GGGGGGGGGGACCCCCCAAAAAACCCCTTTTTTTTAAATTTTTTTTTTCCCCCAAAAAACCCTAAAACCCCCTCTAAAAATTTCTCTTTTAAAACCTTTAAACTTACTTTTAAAAGGGCTTTAAAAAACCGGGCTTAAAAATTTTTTTTTTTGGGGGTAAAAACCTTTTTGGGTTAAAAACGGGGGGGGTTAATTTTGCGGGGGGTTAAAGGTGGCGGGGGGGGGGTGGCCCCCCGGGGGGGGGGGTTAAAATTATCCCCCCCAAGGGAAAACTTTGGGTCCCTCCCCTTTTTCCCCGTTTTAGGGGGAATTGGTTAGGGGGGTAAAGCCCCCCTTGGGGGGGGGGGGCCCGGGGTTGGTTTTTGGGGTTTCCCCCCCTTAAATTTTTAAGGTTTTTTTTTTCCGGGGGGTTTTTTCCCGGATTTTGGTTCTTGGGGGGGGGGATTTTTACCCAGGGGGCCCCCCCTTAAAAAAAATTTTTCGGGTTATTAAAAGCCCCGGCTTTTTTTTTTTCCCCCTTTTAAAAAAAAAAAAAAAAAAAAAAAAAAAAAAGGGGGCCCGGGGCCCGGGGTTCTAAAAAAACCAAAAGGGGGGTAGGCCCCTTTTAAAAAAAAAAAAAAAAAATTGGGTTAGGGGGGGAGGTTGGTATTTTTTTTTTCCGGGTAAATTTAAGCCCTTGGCTTTTAATTTTTTCCCCTTTTAAAAAAAAAAAAAAAAAAAAAAAAAAAAAAAAAAAACCAATATTATCAAATAAAAACAGAGGCCACAAGTCGAACTCAAAAATTGAAGATCATAAAGTTAATTTATTTATTTTCAAAATTTTTAATTTTTAATTATTAATTTATTATATTCTTCTAAAAGCTCATCAATTATAGTATAGTTGTCCATTGTTGGAGGTATAACATAGTTTTCTCCTAAAATAATAAATAAAATTAATAATTGTAGTTTAAAAAGTAAAATTTAAAAAATACATACCATTAAATATTGATTTAACAAGTGGTTTTAGTAATTTCCCATTTCTATTTCTTGGTAAACCATTTACACATAAAATAATTGGTTTGATCACTGTATTGGTATGGATAATATTTATAAGATGGTTGGAAACATAATTCATAATTTGAAGTTTATTCTCTTCATTATTTATCACCAATAAAACCAATGGAGTTTGGGTTAAAACTTCATCTTTAATACCGACAATACAACATTCATTTATTTGGGGGTTATTTAATATATCACACTCCACTACATCACAGTTTATATTTGAGTTTCCGCATGTAATTGAATCACCAGATCTTGAGACATAAAAATAATAACCATCCAAATCATAGTAACCCAGATCACCTGTACTGAAATATCCTTCATATTTATTTAGATAATGTTTATTATATAAACTGGATTTTTCATCATCACCAAACAGACTATTTGTTGCACATGGTGGTAAAGGCAGTTTAATAACAATTTCACCTATTTCATTTGGTCCTAACTCTATTACTTTGTTTGGAGTAGTTTTAGAATTAGTAACAACTTTTAATTGATAACCAATTACAGCTTTTCCGATAGAATCTCCTCTAATAGGGAATTGGTCCAAAGGGTTTAAAGTCATTTGCCACCCACTCTCAGTTTGCCAATATTCACTTAAAACTGGTTTTTTAGTAATTTTTAATAAATAATCTATAATAGATTGATGAACTCTTTCTCCACATATTGATACAAACTTTACTGCAGATAAATCAAATTTTGAAACAATTTTACCTTCTGGATCTTGTTTTCTCATTAATCTTGTAATTAAAGGTGTGATTAAAAAAACATTAACTTTATTACTTGAAATAAGTCTCCAAAAATCTTCAGGAAAGCTCTTAAAAGGTCCTTCGAGGAAAGGAGATTTACCTCCAACAAATAACATTCCATATATTAAAAATGAATGAGAACTTATCCAACCGAAACTGGCACCAGAGTAGTAGGTTTCACCATCAGCTAATTTATAATTCATTCTAGTAGTATAGTTTAAAGCAACTATATGACCCCCTGTTTCTCTTACAATTCCTTTTGGTTTATTTGTTGTTCCACTTGAATATATTAAATATAATGGGTGTTGGGATTCCACAGGTTCATATTCATAGTAGGGTTCAACATTTTCAATGATCTCATTCCAATCAAGTGACCCCTCAATAAAGCAGTTCTTTAATCTGTGATCATTATAGTCAATATTTGGGATATCCTTTCTATTATAAATAACCACATTTGAGGGTTTGTGAAGAGATTTACATAATGCTTCTTTAAGGATGGGTAAAAAGAATTTTGGTTCTTCGGTTAAAAAATAACTAAAACTTGATGAAATTATTATTTTGGGTTTACAATCTGTAATTGTACTTGATAAATTATCTGATAATGCACCCCCATACATAACACTATGAATAGCCCCAATTCTTGCACATGATAACATAGAGATAATAGTCTCAAATGAATTATGCATATATATCAAAACAACATCTCCTTTTTTAACCCCTAAATTTTTAAGTGATCTTGAAAATTTACAAACCTTATCATATAGCTCTTGATATGTAATGGTGAATTTCAAACTTTTTATTGGTAGTTCATGAATAAAGGCGACTTCATTTCCTTTTCCATTTATAATATTTTTGTCTAAAGCATTATAACAAGCATTAATAAACCCACCTTTAAACCATTGAGATTTTTTTGTTTCTATATTAAAGTTTAATACTTCATCATAAGGTTTATCCCTAAATAAATATAAAATTTTAATATTCAGTTATTTTATTTTTATTTTATTTTTATTTTATTTTATTTACCAATGAATTTTATATTTTTTTGAAACTTCGTCCCAAAACATTGGGTTTTCTTTTTTAGAAAACTCTAAATCTTCATAATAACTAAATGGTTCACTTAAATTATATTTCATTTTTAAATTAAATTAATATCGAATATCTTTTTTAAGTTTAAATAATATTTTCAAAAAAAAAAAAAAAAAAAAAGATTAAAAATATACCAAAAATAATATCTCTTGTTTTTTATTTTTTAGACTGTTTAAAAAATTAATCTATAAATTTTTTTTGGTAATGGATCAATATAATTTAAATTTTAAATATCTGTATAAAATATTTAATTTTTGAATGTTAGAAGGTTAACCAATGCTCATAACAATCATAATAATTATACAGAAATTATCTTTTTGAGATTTATAAGGGAAATTTTTTAAATAAAAAAATTTAAATTAATTTTTTTTTTTTACTTAATTTAAAATCAAGTTTCGATGTTATTTCTTTAAATTTATTATAGATGTGACACGTTTCAGTTCCCAAACTTATAAACATTCGACCAATGGTGGCTTAGTTTATATTATAAGAAAATATGATTTTTAATGAAACATTTAGTTTAATATATTGTGTTTAAAAATAATATTTTTGAGTGGGTTAAATTCTTTATTTTTTTTTATTTTTTTTTATTTATCTTGAATTTTAAAAATAATAAATTCATTTTTTTAACAAATTGTTTTCTTTTATTTGAGTTGAAATAAAATTAAAAGCTAAAATATTATTATTAATCGAGGCAGAAGATAATAACGAGTTTTTTAAAACTGAAATATTGCGGTTTGAATCGTAACAATCGATAATAAATAAAGTTGGATAGTTTTCTTTTAGGTAGTTGAAAATATTTGTACGACCGTAGATTTGAGCAACAATTAACAATGGATTGATAAAGCTATGATAAAACTTTTCTTTGTTTAGATCAAACGGAGTACTTAAAAGGACCATTAGTTTGGCTAAAGTTTCTGTATCGCCTCTACTTGCAACCAAGTACCTAATTTTTGTAAAAAAATGATTTTCTACAAGTCTGATTAATGATGGTATTTCTTTTAATTTGGCTCTAAAGTAATCTAAAACCATGTCGGTCCTGCCACAATAATAATGATATAAAACCAAAACCATTTCTGGATTGATTTTCGAACCTAAATGTTGTGCTTCTGCGTCGGCTACACTATCCCATCTTGACGAAACAATATCTTGATATCTGTTTTTATAAACCCAGTTTAATAGTACACAAGACCTTTTGAATTTTTTTGAATCTGCTCCACAAAAAATACTATACTTTTGATCATACGGAGTTCCCTTAACCAATTGAATATATTCTTCTAAAGAGAATTCGAAAAGTGACCTGCGTTTCCATATATTGATTTTTTCATAACAAAAGCTAAAGTCATTTATATTACTATAAATAAATAATATTGATTCTTTTGAATATTCATAGCTTGTATTATTTGTATCTTCAATTGTAAATTGTAATAGTTGTCTATAGAGTTTTAAATGGTTTCTTTTAATATGCTTCATTAAAGGTATTTTTGATTTTAAACAACTTTGGAAGGTAATCTCTTGATTTATAAATTCTGAATTTAATTGTAATAAATAATCAAATACCTCTGTTGATTTGATGTACTTTTCAACTAAATTCTTTGGAAAAATCTCACTGTCATCAAAAGCATATGTTTCTAATAATGATTTATATAATTCTTTGATTAAAATTAAAATATTTGAACACAGTAAAATTTCCATTATATTAATTGGTTGAATAAAAATATTATTATTATTATTATTATTATTATTATTATTATTATTATTATTATTATTATTATTATTATTATTATTATAACTATTATTTCTAAGATTTAATTTAATATTGTTTAAAACTTGATTTAAAAATTCTTTTTGTTGATCAATATCATTATTACAAAATTTAAATATTGTTGTTTCGGTTTTTTCAGTATTTGTGAATAAAAGTGAAAAGTCTGCATTTGTTCGAACCCCACCCAGTTCCCCAAAATGTAATGAATTAAAAGTATTTGTTGATAGTGTGAAATCTTTGCAGTATTTATATTGATAGAAAATAAAATTATCCTTGAAAGAGCCACTGGTATAGCATGTGAATGTTATTAACATTTTAAATAAGTTTCTAACAGTTTGATTATCTTTTGAAATTGAAAAAACTTTATCTTGCAAAATTTGGCCTAATTCATTTTGCTTGAATTGTTTTAAATCTTCATATTGGATGAAATCGGTTGCTGGTGTTGGCAAATATGTTTGAAGTAAACCTGAATAGTTCATATATTTGTCTCTGATCTCTTCTTTTGCGATACACTTTAAATAGTCTTCAAAGAAACAGGTGTTTTCTAAAAGCAATGCAACAGTTTCACACGATTCTAAAAGTTCCTGAACTGTTAATTGATAAATTTCAAATTGGAATATATCTTCTTTAACCTTATTTAATTCTTTAGGTGGTAATAGTTTCATATCCATAATTAAAAAGTTTACGATTTTATTTATAATTTGATGATGCTTTCTTTTTGGTTTTATTACATCTGATTTTTCTCTGTTTCTGGTATTGTTATGTTCATAGGGCCACTGCGATCGCATGCGTTCTTGTTGTGGGTCGTAGTCATCTTGTAAATACTTTAATAAAGAAGATTTCCAGACCTTTGCAACAATATCATTCTTTTTTACATTCAAAACCTTGAATAATAATTTTGCGCATTTAGTAGAGCCATAGTCCAAGCATTGGTAAAAATGATCGATCTTACCATTAAAGTTATACTTTTTGATTAATATTAACAATGCTGACACATTATCATACTTCATAGCTAACTTTGAAGAGTATTCTAATAATGTCCATATCTTTCCAATAGTTGGCGAAATTGAAAATGAATGATTGTCGTTGATATCATAAAGATGCTGTGGAATTATTGGTAGTTTTATAAAATAGCTTGGATAGTTTTTGAATAGATTTTCATAGAACTCGCTGCACTCTTTACTGTTATTATTTATTTCTTTAAAAATTGATAACTTGCGATTATTAGTATTTTTTTCTTTAAATGGGTAGGGGTTTGATGAATAATTTTCAAAATTAAAGAAATCAATTAAAAATTCTCCATTCTTTACTTTTAATTTCAATAATTCTTGATAACCATTTCTTAACATCCATTGAACTGAACAAATTTCGTGATACTTGAAAGTACTGATTTTCATTTCTTCTTTAATTGAATCAATAATGAGTATTCTTAAATACTTGTTCTTCCAGACCCTCCAAAATAACCTTTCACTATAATCGATATCATAATTTAATAGACCCAACTCTTCATCTTCTGAGCTAAGACTAATTTTTAATTTCCTAATTTGACTTTCAATTTTCTTTTCTATTTCTTTTTCAATTTTTTCATTTTTTATTTCTTTCTTTTGTTGTTGTTGTTGTTGTTGCTGTTGTGGTTGATTTTTATAGTTTTTTTTATTTTTTCTTTTGTTATTATTATTATTTTTATCTTCTTCATCATCACTTTCAATATTATGATTCTTTTTTTTATTATTATTATTATTATTATTATTATTATTATTATTATTATTTATTTCTTCATCATCGCTATCATATTTTGAATTTCTTTTATTATTTTTTTTTTTCATTTCTATATACTATATTAATTATTAAAAACTATATTTAATTATATTAATAATGTGTTTAAAAAAATATAAAAAATTGGGCTTTTGTTTTGTGTTTTAAAAAAAATTTTGAAAAAAAAAAGATATTTTTAAATAAAAAAATATGAAAAAAGAAAAAAAAAAGAAAAAGGAAATTATTAAAGGAAATAAAAATAATAATTATAGGAAATATGAAAGAGGTAAGAATTGTATATATAATCCCATCCAAATAATAAAACAAAAAAATAAATAGCATAATTATGAATAAAAAACAAAAAAAAATAATAAATTATATAATTCGATCTATATTTATAAGAAAATTATAGAACCATAAGATAACTCTTTTTTTCTATTTTTTTATTTCCTAAACAAAATTCAATTCTATGCTGAAAATGATCGCTTTATGGTTAGTGATCAAACCAAAATCCTTGAAGAAATTTAGATTATTTATAATAATAATCATAAATATACCAGTGAATTGCATGCTGTTTGCGCAACTCTCGGTTGGACCATGGATGAAATTTTCTTATTTAATTAAGACGGTTCGGAAAAACATTTTAGTTTTATCATTAATTTAAATAGTTTTATTTTTTATATTGTAACAGTGCAACAATAAAAATGATAGAGATACTAACAACAATTGCACAATAAAATAATTAAGTAATTATTTCTTTCTACATAAATATAAAAAAAAACAACGCCAATACTAATAATTATTAAATTAAAAATCTATAAAAAATAATTTTTTTTTATCTTTTTTATTTTTTTATTTTTTTTTTATAATTATTATTTTTTTTTTTTTTATTTATTTGAAATTTACCTTTGAGTTTTGTTTTATATTTTTCTTTTTTTTATTAATCAAAATCTATTCCAACACAGTTTTGTATTGTTTTTGAAAAGATATTGGATATTACTGTAATTTAAAATTGAAAGAAATTTCATATGGCAACATTTAGTGTATATAAAGGGAAATATATGGAAATATATTTGATAAAAAAATTAAAAAAATTTAAATTTTTTTTTTTTAATTTAATTTTTTATTTTTTTTAAATATTTTTTATTTCATTTTTTTATTTTTTACTTTATTTTTTTATATTTTTTATATTTTATTAACTATTAGTATAAGAAAAATACTCTTTTTTTTTCTTTTATTTTTTTAGAAATGTATAAAAACAGAATCGATATTGTATGTCAAAAAAAAAATAAAAAAAAAAAAAATAAAAAAAATTAATAAAAACTAATATATATTAATTTATTTTATTTTTTTAAAAAAAGATTAAAAATCATTTAGAAGTTAACAATAATGAAAAGTCAAATTCATTAGAAAGTGAATTATTCAGACCAATTCAAGAAAATATCAATATTCAAGACTTTAAAGTTTTAGTTGATTCAGTCGAAGCACACAAATACAAAGATGCTGCAAGAGCATTCATCAGAACCAATCCAAAGTTCAAAGAAAACTTTATTGGTTTAGATATGTCATCATATAGACAATTGGTATTAGAACAGTGTGAAGAATTTGCAAAAAGTGGTCTTGTTCATTTCACCGATATCAAACAAAACATCTTTAGATACGCTGGTATAGTCGAAATGTTAGCATTATTCAATAATAATATTTGTACAAAATTAGGTGTTCATTTTACATTATTTGGTGGTACAATTATGTTTTTAGGAACTGAAAGACATCAGAAATACATTGAAGATGCCAATACCCTCAAAACTGTTGGTTGTTTCTCAATGACTGAAATTGGTCATGGTTCAAATGTTCGTGGTATTGAAACCACTGCCCACTACGACCCATCAACTAAAGAGTTTATCATCAATTCACCAACCCCAACCTCACAAAAATTCTGGATCGGTGGTTCTTATTTACATGCTACCTATACTACTGTCTTTGCCAATCTCATCATCAAAGGTGTTAACCATGGTGTTCATGCTTTTGTCGTCACTCTCCGTGATAAGAATGGAAACGTTTTACCAAAAATAACTATCAAAGATTGTGGCCATAAATTAGGTTTAAATGGTATTGATAATGGACAACTTAAATTCGATCATGTTCGTATTCCAAGAGAAAACCTCTTAAATAAATATAGTGATGTCACTGAAGATGGTACCTACAAGAGTCAATTCAGTTCACCAATCAAAAACTTTGCTGCCACTATGGCTCCATTCATTGCTGGTAGAATGGCAATCACCAAAGGTTGCAGTGGTGCATTAAAGACCAGTCTTGCCATTGCCATCGATTTCTCCTACGTCAGAAAACAATTTGGTCCAACCCTCGAAAATGAACAACCATTAATTACTCTTTCTTCCCAACAAAGACGTTTAATGGCTCCATTAGCAAGAACCATTCTCTTTGATCTCTATGTTCAACGTCTCACTAGAGAACTTGCACAACCAAAGCAACCAATCTCAATTCATGCTCACTGTTCTGGTATTAAAGCCATCTATTCATGGCATTGTGTACAAAACCTCCAAGTTTGTAGAGAAGCTTGTGGTGGTCAAGGTTATCGTTCTGCAAATCGTATTGCCGAATTCAAAAATGATTGTGATATCATTTGTACCTATGAAGGTGATAATACAGTTTTAATGCAACAATTAGCCAAATACCTTTTAGCTCTCCCAGAATCAAAAGTTCAACAACCAACTATTTATTTAGATGGTGATGATGCCAAATCATTACTCTTCAACTTTGAAAACATCAAGAGACTCTTTGACCAAAGAGAACAAATGAGATTAAAAGAATTAAAACAAATCATTTCAAACTCTAAAGAATCATCATATAATGCTTTCAATAATGCTATTCCATGGTCTGTTAAATTAGGTTATGCTCATATGAACAAAATCGTTTTTGACCATGCTATCACCACCCTCAAAGAAAATAATGTTAAACCATTAGCTCATTTAATCATGTTGGATTCACTTGTCACCATTGAAGAAGATTTAGGTTGGTTTGTTACAAATCATTTAATTTCATCAAATGTCGCTAAAGCCATCCCATTCTTAATTCAAGATCTTTGTTCAGAAGTTACTAAAGTTTCAAGACAAATTCTTGAATCATTCGATATTCCAGAAAACTGTAAAGCTCCATCAAAAGATTTAATCTCTGATCTTTTTTAAATAAAAATAAAATAAAATAATTAAAACTGTAAAAAAATAATAAATAATAAAAATTAAATATATACATTTATTTTAAAAATAAATAGAATTAATAGTTTTTATAAATTTTATAACTTATTTATTTGTTTATTTTAATACATCTTTATTGCCTTTTTTTTTTTGATTTTTTTTTTTGATTTAAGAAAAGAATTGAATTTTTTCTTCGATAGTTTCACCTTTTTTAATTAATTCGATTTTTTTAGTATTTACATCAAAGGAGTAAATTGGTGGGGCTAATCTTAAATTGTAATGAGAGTAAGCTGAAATCATATAGGCACCACAGTCATGAACCATAACATATTCACCTCTTAAAATTGGTGGTAACATTCTTTCTTTAACTAAAACATCGGCAGCAAAGCAACATGGACCAGCAATATCAGTCATTCTTTCGTCACCATGTTTACGAATACCATTTTTATCGAAAATGGTTACACGGAGTTTCCATAATGGGAATTGATAAACAGTTCTAATATGCATATTAGCACCAGAGTGGCAAACTGCAATGGCACGATCACCTGATGATTTGGTATATTCGATATTTGAAATGACAACACCACATTTAGCCCAATAAGAACGACCAAATTCAGTGATTAAAAGGAAATCACCATTGAATAATTCTGGTAAAATTGATTTAAGATGATTTGCGTAATCGGTGAATGTTGGTTTTGATTGTTCGGTATCAAAGTTAACTGATAAGCCACCACCCATATTGAAAAAGGTAATTTGTTTATTTAAAAGAGTGTTGATTTCTTTAGTTAATTCCATAACTTTGACAGCAGCACTTGAAATTGAATCAATTTCGAAACCTTGTGAACCAATATGAATGTGTACACCTTTTAACCATTTATTTCTACGATATGCATCAATAATTTTATCTTTATGTTGAATACCAATACCAAATTTACTAGTTGGAACACCTGTACTAAGATCTGTTAATGTACCTGCATCGACTTGTGGATTAATTCTAATACCTAAAACTAAACTATCTTTTTTTTCTTGTGTGAATGTTGATACAATTTCTTCGATTGTTTCTAACTCTTCAAAATTATCAACATTAATAACACATCCAATATTTAAAGCATATTCTAATTCTCTTCTAGTTTTAATTGGTGAATCGAAAATAATTTTCTTTTTTTTAAAAAAAGAATAATTAATAAATTATAATATTTTTATAAAACTATTAATAAATTAATAAAACCTACACTTGGTTCAAAACCAGCTCTTTCGGCAATTTTTAATTCTCCAAATGAAGCAACCTCTGCACCTAAACCACATTTAATAGCTTCTTTCATTAAATTCATTACTGGGTTGCATTTAACAGCCATAGTTTGAAGGCCTTTTAAGTTGTCACATGCTTCTTTAGCGAGGGCTCTGAATTCATCTAAATTGTACATCATTACATAATCATTTTCTTTGAAAATTCCTTCTTCAACTGCTTTTTTTATACTTTCTTTTTTCCAATCAAGGCAATCGTATGAAAATGATGACTCGTTTGCAATCATTTTTTTTTTTAATCGTTATATTTTAAATAAATAAAAAGGTGGTATTAAAAAAAAATTTATATATAATATTAAATAATAAAAATTTTCTAAATTTCGTTATAAAAAAATAAAAAAATAAAAAAATTTTATAAAATTATAAATTTCGTTATAAAAAAAAAAAATAATAAAAATCTAAAAAAATAAAATTTGCTTTGGGAAACTCTGATTTCCACCCAGGTTTCGAAACCAATAAAATTCAATCTTTATAATTTTTTTTTTTTAGTAATAAATCACTTTTTTTAAATTTGGTTTAAAATTATATTTTATTTGATTTCTAAAAAATTTGAAATGGGTTGTTTTAATATTTTTATTTATTGTTGGATCTATGATACCATTGATATTAAGGGTATTGTTTATTTTGTTTATTTTGTTTATTTTGTTTATTTCTTTATAATTTTTAAACCGCAGATAATAAAAAATATTAGAAAATTTATTATATTAGATATTTTAACACTATTGTTTTTCTTATTTATTATTTAATTATAAAATCAATGAAATAAAAAGTTTATTTATTATATATTTTGATTGTTTATTTATAATATCTTTTTGGTTAAAATAAATATAAATTTAAAATTAAATTAAAAAAAAAAATTTATTTTTTTTTTTATTTTTTTTATTTTTTCATTTAAAAAAAAGATTTTTATAAAACTAATATAAATGTAGATCAATCTTTATTTTGTTTTTTATATTGTTTAGAATGACCAATACCTATAATAATAATAATAATAATAAAGAGGGAACAAAATATAAATTTAAAATTCATTTAGTAGGTGATAGATATGAGGGTTGTAAAACATCATTTTTAAATGTAGTGTGTAATAATAGTTTCAACTTAGAGTATACCCATACAACAATATGGGACTATATGGAAAAAGAAATGGAAATCAATGATATCAGAATTAGTGTTGCAATTTATGACTACTTTTTCCCAAATGATGGAAGAGAATATAAAGCAAATGAACATAGGGCAAACTTTGAATATTTACATGGTATAGTATTCCTATATTCAATAACAAATAAAGAATCATTTGAAAATATTAAACAGTTTTGGTATAAAGAGTACATAAAAAAATATAAAATGATAGATAAGAAGTATTTCAAAAAACCAAAACTATTCAAACCAACAATTATGATAATAGGAAACAAATCAGATTTAAGAAATGAATCAAATCAATCGGAATGTGTCAATAGTGATGATGCTAGGAGTTTTGCAAGTTCAATAGGTGCATTATTTTTTGAAATTTCTTTAAGAGAGAATAGTAATGTCGAAACTGCATACACAGAAATGGTTAAAGCAATTCTAACAAACTATGAAATAGCAGGTGGTTCGTCAGTAAGTGAAATTTCTACTAACTAGTCAACACTCCAACCCCTCATCTGTCTCTTTACAAATAAAGTATAAATATAAAATTAAAAATAAAATTATAAAATTACAATTGTCTTTTTCTTTTTTTTTAAACTATGTATACACTAATAAATAAAATTATTTTATTGTTTTTTAAGTTTATATTTATATTTTTAAAATTTCATTGGTTGTATTTAATATTTTCATTTTATGTAACATTTTAAATATTATTCCATTTTGGTTTAAAATTTTTATTCTTCTTTCGTACTCTTTCTTTTTTATAATTCTTATTTTATTTTTAGTTTCATTTTCTTCTAATAATGCAATGAATATATTATAAAGTGATTGTGAATTGGTTGATGATGATTCGACGTATGGAGCTTGGTAGTATTTGCTAATTTGCTCTCTTTCAAATTTTGAGATTTGATGTAATTCCTCTGGTAAATCAGTTTTATTAGCAACTAGTATTATTGCTGGCATTGATATGGTTTTATATTGATTTATTAGATCCTTATAGTACTGTATACTATCAAATGATTCTCTGTCATCTAATGAATATACAATTATAAATGCATTACTTTGTTTAATTGTATCTGGTACTAAGTGATTAAATTCCTTTGATCCAGCTATTTAAAATTATAAAATTAATTTTTAAAATTAATATTATTTAGGGGTAAAAATTAAAAAAATAAAAATGAACTTACCAGTGTCATTAATAGATAATCTTATCATTTCATTTCTGAATGAAAATGATTTACAAACACCTCCTTCTATTGTTGGGACATATTCTTGATCAAATACACCCTCAACAAAGCTTCGAATTAAACTTGATTTTCCAGTTTTACCTAACTATAATAAAAAAAATTATTAATATTAAATTATAGATTAATTTTAAAAATTAAAAAATATTTACCCCAAGCACACAAATTTGCATTCTCTTCATTTTTAAATACTAAAATGAACTTTAAAATTTATTCTAAAAAGATAAATAGTTTTAAATAAATAAATAAATAAATAAATAAATAAATAAATAAATAAATATATAAATAAATGAAATAAAATGAATGAATGAATAAATAAATAAATAATAAATAAATAAATAATTAAATAAATAAAAAATAGATAAATAAATAAAGTAATAAATAAATAAATAAATAAATAAATAAATAAATAAATAAATAAATAAATAAATAAATAATTTTAATTATATAATAAAAGTTAGATATATAAATAATATTTATTATAATAATTTAAAGAACAAATAAAATATATTTTTTTTTTATTAAATATTAAAAAAATTATTGTTAAAATAAATTAATATAAAGAAATTTTAAAATTTTTTATGATTATGATCACATTGCCAAAAATAAATAAAAAAATTTATCGTTGTTATATACATTAACTACTACTCTGTTTGTTTTAAAATTTTATATATAGTTTTTATTCAAACAAACACACACACAACAAATAACACATAACACATTTAAAAAAAAAGAAATAAAATATATCATATTTTTTGTGTATTAAATAAAGTTTTTCTTGAATTGTTTAAAAATTTTTAAATATAGGTGAATTAACTTTATTGGTATCATTAAACTACTAATATTAATTAAAATGTTTATTATAGATTTAAAATTTAATATATTTAATATGAGAGTTATTTTTAATGTGTGTGTTGAGTGGGTGTGTGCTATTTATGATTTACATGAAATTTATTTAAGAAAAAGAAAATTAATTGGGGGGGAAAATTATAAAGGGGTATATTAATATACCGGAGTTAAAAAGGTTAAAAAAAATATAATGGGAAAAAAGTTTTTGTAAAGTATAGCAAAGGGACACTCCACACACAAATACAATTTTTAAAAACAATACCAACTATAACAAACAAAAAAAATTAAATGATTCCAACAATAATATGATATCATTATATAAAATCATAATAATGATTTTATATAATGACATTTTTTTGATACTAGAGATAGCAATAAATGATATAGTTATTAAAATATTTAAATTTGAGTTTTTGATTTATTTATCGCAATTACATACACAAACTCTTCCTAGCTAAGCTCTGTTATTTTGCCATCTATCTACACACCCACCCATATATATACATAGATGTAAATAATATATATTAAACTATGTGTGTATAAATTTGTAAACCTCCAAAATAGAAATAATTTATTTTGGAGGCATATGAAAATTATAATAATGGTGAATAATTATATTAAATCACAAACACAAAAAGAAAATAAAAGGAAAAGGAAAAAACTTGTAATAACAACAATACCATTACCATAATTATTATTTTTTTTTTTTTCTAACTTCATTTCAAGTTATTTTTTATTTTGGTTATTTATTATTTTCTGCATTATCACACCACCACTCATTGAATTCAACTTTTATAATAATATAATTATGTGAATGATTTTTATTATTATCTATTTATTTATTATTGCTATAAAAGGAAATAATTATTATAGATTTAAAAAAATCTTATTGTTATAACTAGTATGAGTGTGTGATACAATAATAACTGATTTACTAAATATATACATTAAATGTACCAATAAAAAAAAACAATTATTTAACTTTTTTCAAAAAAAACACAAATAGAAATATTGAGAGAGACAAAGACACATAGTTGTGAGTGTATATAAGTATGGGGTTAAACTTTATTTGAAGTTTGTAAAATACAAATATTTAAAAATAATAGATAAATAAATATTTATCCCCATTATAATAAGAAAAAAAAAAAAAATTTAATTTGGATGTTATGAATTTCTTTTTATTGATTTATTTT